GATCAATTAACATGAGCAATTGTGGCGTGACGTGGTTTCGCTGGACGCGTGTTATTTTCTATTGGAGTAGGATTTGGCAGTTTGAACGCAAGACTCAACATGATGGCTTCAATAATATTTAGTCTTTTAAAAAGGATGGGAAATGCATCGTATTGTTACCTATTACGGATGCGAGAGGCATAGAAAACACTGAAGAGGAGAGTGAGATACAAGTATTGCTATATTCATTATTACATGGCTTCCAGGATGTGATGACCAACAGTCTTCCCAAGGGATTATCACAATTGAGAGACATTCGACACATCATTGATCTCATACCCAAATTAATGTTGCAAATCAATCTATCTAAAGATTGAGACCTGCGGAGTACGAGTTGCAGCGATGGGTACAAAATCTCATTTCAGGAAAGTTGGTCAGAGAGAGTACGAGTCTGTGTGTTGTCCTCGTTCTGATGGTACCCAGTAAAGACGATTTGTGGCGGATGTGCATTAACAGTTGAGCTATCACTAAATACTATCAAATATCGATTCCCCATGCCTCACTTGCACGATCTTGAATCAGTTGCACAGAGCCACTCTCTTTTCCAAGATCGACTATCACATTGGGTTTCATCAGATCCGAATGAGGCTAGGGGGATGAGTGGAAAGACCGCTTTCAAGACACGGGATGATTTATACAAATGGATAGTTATGCCCTTTTGATTGTAAAACGCGCCCAACACTTTTAAGAGATTGATGAATAAGGTATTTCAAGCACGCATTGAGAAATTTTTGTGTTATACTTAGACAAAATTCTGGTATACTGTTGATTATTCAAGGTGTTGTGAGCAATAAAGCTATATGCCCATCCAAAGAAGTGCCCTTTATGACTGCTTAAATATGTTTTTTGACTTTTATCGTGCAGACATTCAGTTGGATCCTAGAAAGATCGAGGCCATTGTGAGAGTCTTTTACCGAGCAGACGCAGTTTTTAGAACTAGCATCATTTTACAGGCGATTCTTTAGGAGATTTAGTACCATCACTGCTTCTCTGACAAGAACATTTGAAGGGATAGAAATTCTAGTGGACGGATGCAGCTCAGAATAGTTTTAACGCACTAAAGGTTAACGCAATTAAGGAAAATGTGACCCAAGCTCCAGTCTTGGCATTTTCAGATTTCAATCAGTTGTTTGGGCTAGAGTCTGAAGCACCAGGCGTTGGGATATTAGCAATGCTACGCTAAGGAGGTCGCCCCATTGTCTTCTTCAATGAGAAGCAGAATGAGTCCAGGAGAAAATATTTGACGCACAACATGGAGTTTTATGGTATTGTAAGAGTTATTGAGCACTGGAGTCATTACTTATGGACGAGCGAGTTCACGTTGTTCACAGATTACGAAAACTTGAAAATTTTAAACAATCAAAGCATACTTAAGGGTCGACATGCGACTTGGGTGGAGTTTTAGCGTCGTTCCAGTTCGTGCTCAAGTACAAAGCAGCGAGTCAGAACCGCATATCACATATTGATCACTGCAATGCAGACCTGAGTCACAGGCGCTGAGGTAGAAAGGAGCTATACGAGACAGACGAAGATTTTAGGAAAATCTATTAACAGTGTTAGAAGAAACCTACCGGGCAGTACTACATGGTAGATGGTTACTTGTTCTACTAAATTGAGTTGTGCATTCCTAGATGTTTGTTGAGGGAGTCCATTGTTCAGGAAAGTGACAATAGAGGAATTGCAAGGAATTCTGTCAAGGCCAAGACTTTTGCACTCGTGAGTGAACACTTCATTTGGCCCTAACTAGTGAGAGATGTGGAATGACCCATCAAGCAATGTCGGATTTGTCATGTGGCAAAAATCAGGGGACATAATACATGACTATACACCGCATTACCAATACTAGAGACACCGTAGGTGAAAGTTAGCATGAATTTTGTGGTGGTTCTTCTGAGAATACACCGAATCAAGGATTCAGTCATGGGCATGGTAGATTGATCCTCGAAAATGACATTTTGTATCTTGCTACCGAACACTGGATGCATTACATGTCGTAAACTTGTATTTCAGGGACAATGTGAGGCTGCACGGAATATCCAGGAGCATCACTTCATACAGGAATGTCAAGTTCCTGAGTCATTCCTGGAGGACTCGGAGAAAAATTAGGCACTAAGCTTCAATTCAGTTTCGTAGCTCATCCATAGACAGATTGTCAAATGGAGGTAGTAAGGTTCCTTGGAAATCTCTTTGAGATGTTTCATTGGGAAGAATATTAAGCAATGGGATCTGATTCTAGCTTAAGCGAATTTGCTTACAACACTATCGTGAGTAAAAGACTACTAGATTTGCTCTATTTGAGATTGTGTACGGATGCAACCCACTCACAAAAGACTATTAGATTTGCTCTATTTGAGATTGTGTACGGATGCAACCCACTCACTTTCCTTGAATTGGTATCCCTTGTACCAACGTCAGAGATTAGTATGTTGAGGAATCGGTGCATGAGATTCAGAAACTCCACGAGGAGGTCGAAAAGACAAATAAGACAAATAAAAAGACAAACTTCATTAAGAAGAATCACAAGTACTAGGCATAGCCGCATAGGAGAACAAGACAAATAAAAAGGTGAACCTTAAAGGAGACCTAGTGTGACTCCGGTTGAAAAAAAAAAAGAGATCCCAGTAGGAGCATTCGGAAAACTCCAGCCCAGAGTAGACTTGCCTTTCAAAATACTTCGAAAACATTATGATAATGCATATAAGATCTGCTTGCTAGAGGACTACAGTTTTTCTGCCACGCTCAATGTTGCAGACTTGACACCGCACTACAAAGACGTAGAAGCTGCAACGGATGAAGTTGAAGCTCTCCTAACCCTGAGAGACTGATGTCGTGGCTTAGCTAAACCGGCTCAACCAATTTAGCAAGGGTGCCGATCCAACAGGAGACTGGACCAACCGACTGATTCAATGGGCAGGAACTACCACTCTTATTCCCAACTCTCCTATTCTCTCTAGCATTATATGTACGTTGTTGTGTGTTTTAAGGTTTATTTTTTTGTCGATTTCTTATTTCTGATTTCTACCTTCAGGTGTCTCGCTTGCTAGGGATGTATCCGAGGTCAAGTGGTGCTCCAGTTGTATCTTGCTCCGAGTTGGTGATTATCTCCACATTTCTCACCATATTCCTTCTCCCTGGCTCGCTGACCTTCAGTCAGCAACCCTCCAACATCCTTCCAGCCACTCAGGCCTTGCCGCTAACCTCTCTGGCACTCTTCCATATTTTGTTGTAATCCCTCCCAGTCCTTCCAACCTTGTCTCAAACCCCTCTGACCCCTTCCAAACCTTGTTGTAATCCCTTGCGGACCTTTCACCCTTGCTGCAATTTTCTCCACCTCTTCCAACTGCTGCAGCCACTCATCCCAACCCCTCCAACAAGCAGTTACGGCCCCTTAGACATACCCAGCTACTGCTGATACCCCTCTAACTCTCTCCACTGCTGCAGCATCCCTTAATCAATCATCTCATCTGTTGTCCAACCTGTGTCCACCTGTCACTCTCACCCTAGCCAGCCGTTTGTGTGTTTAGTTTAATCAATCTAATCGTAGTGCAGCTTTATACTTATATTTCTAAATTGTTGGCATTATTCATTATAGTCTTATATACTCTTATAATCTATTTATTTAACTTATTTTGTAAATTTATATTTATTTATATGCAGACTTGTTACTTGTCTAATTCCCATTTAAACAAAATAGTCATTGAATAATAATTAAAATTTCAGATTTTATTATATAAAAATTTGTATTGATTTTGTATTTCTCATACAAACGCCCAACAAATTTCCTAGAATTAAAATAAGCAATTCTAGGATTTCTCATTAAAATATCAAAATCAAAATTTTTATACGCGAAAATCTCACTTGAAACCTATAAACATTCTAAATATGCAAGCTTTATGGTTGATAAAAGGTCATCTTTCGAGTATTGCATATTCTTCAATGACAATTTGTGTAAGAGAAGTAAAAAATCTGAAGTATAATGGTAAGATTTAATGTAAAAGCTTAATTTAGATCTATGACATTATGGATTTATAAACTTTTATGGCTGAAAAATACCTTGGAAGATTTAGAGGTTCGATGGAAAAGTTATGTGTGGCTTTATTATTTCAATAAGTTGACCATCAATTTCGCACATAATTACATGCAAAAGAACAGAACAAAACATATTGAAGTGATGGGCATTTTATGAAGGAAAAGCTACGCTATGGTCTAATCTTACTTCATTCATTGCTATAAATGGGTAACTTGCAAACATTCTCTCCAAAGGATTATCAAGGATAATATTTTAATAACTGACATGCAAGCTTAGATTGGACAATATCTATTGATTTGCTTCGAGAAGGAGTGCGGAAAAATTAATCCAGATATCCATCAATGCAAATTCCTTCAAGTTTGTCTTTGCCTCTATCAATATTCCAGCTTAGTAGTTCTCCTTCTTATTCACTTCATCTCATCTCAGTGATCCGTGGAATTATTTGTCACCTCACCTATACATGGACTTTCATAATTAAAATTGATTTTATATTTATTTTTTCTTTCGTTATTGTTGTGTATTTCCTACTAAAGATTTCTATATATCCGTATGAATTCTACACAAAATGATAAATTGATCTCATATTAAATTCTCTCCAATTAAAAAATGTGAGTTAATAGAAAATAAAATCGCCAGTATGACCTTAAGCTTCTTATAGATAGCAAGCATGCATAATGAGGGTGTGGAGAAAATGCCTTGAAAGAAAGTTGAATGGTGATTTTCTTATTGTTTTCAATATACCAAAAAGCTGAACGAAAGCAATGCTGCTACCTTACTGAATTTTGATATTTAAGCTTGGATACTGACAGAAATTTAAAGCGGACGCTGGATTTTCATTTTCTAAAGCTTAGCTATTCTTGTTCTTCTCAAGCCATGATATGATTCAAGTATGATTTGTTTATGTTATTTTCCCTTTTCAATGTAAATATAGGTTATCCCTGGAAATGAAACTCGAGTCATGAAGATGTTAAACCGCATCTCAGAACTTGGCCCCACCGTTGTAATGGGTAAAAATGAACTATTGCATACATCTGGACATGGCTATCGTGAAGAGTTGGTAAGTTCCATGCGGGCCATTAATTAATCTTTCTAGGAGCTCCTTGTCACTTCTGAGCTCGTTTAATGCATTTCTCGTTATTCACTGCAAAATTTATTGCTGCTAACATTGTCAAATTAATTCCCTTCATTGTCAATGCGATCATCTCTTGTGGATGACTCTAATATTAGCATCCTTCTAAATCATTTAGGAGGAAGTTCTCAGGATTGTGAAGCCTCAACATTTTCTTCCTGTTCATGGGGAGCTCTTATTTCTTAAGGAACATGAATTAGTTGGAAAATCAACCGGCATCAAGCACACTGCAGTAAGTTGGTGTTTTGACCAACAATTTCTCTTGAATAAATAATATAATTAGTGCATTCTTAATACAAGTTGACGGTCAGGAATATTTTAAATGCTATGTTTTTTGTGGTTGGCGTGCGTAAGTTGCCGTTAACATAGACCAGAACTATGGGATGAATGAAATATTTTATTTTTCTTATTTCCGTATTTTTATATATTTTATCGTCTTTCGATAGTAATTTTGCAAATTAGATTAAATTTTCTATTATGTATGTCATAAATGCTAGATGTTTATAGTTTCACTGCATTCCAAGTACAGGATTGGAAAATAGTGGCTGCAGGCCTTGTTTTCTTGAAGCTTTTGATATCTTGATGCAGGAGCTAATTTTTAAAGATTCAAAATGGAGAAATAAAGATATTTTATTCCATTGATCTACTAAGTAGGGGTGATGGAGTTTGTTGAAATTCATAATAATGCGGAATATTTTTATTGATATGAAATGGGGTATAAATAACCCTTACATGAATCCCAGAATAAGAAAGAAAATAATAAAGATGTAACAGGAAATGAAAGATATGAAAATAAATAACACATAATATCTCCAATTAATCAATTCATAATAATTATTTAGAAATAAAAGAAACAACATAAAATAGGAAAGTCTAAAATAGAAAAGGAAATAAATTCAATCCAAAAAAATAAATCTAAAATATGAAATGAAATAAAGTTATATTAGAAAATAAATCTAATCATCATAATTTCTGACGGGAATAAATTATTTCTTAATATAACTTCTAACACTCCCCCTCAAGTTGAAACATGGTTGAAAATCATGCTTAACTTGGATTTAAAAACATCAAACAATAAGCAAGGAAGATCATGTGAAGTAGAAATTGAAGTTTGCATCCTGTACTGCGGTTGTCTTTTATTACAATTCTTGCAGTGTCTGTAGGTAGGAGAAAGACTCCGACAGATAATGTTGCAAGGGAGTTTGCATGGAAGTAGACAATCTGCAGGAAAGTTGACTTCTAGTAGACTGCGGTTGTCTTTGACAGTAGTTCCTGCAGTATTTGTGGGTAGGTAGAAGACTTCTACAGGTAATGCTACATGATAGTTTGCAGTGAAGTAGACAACCTGTAAGAAAAACTCTCTAGTTGACTGCGATTGTCTTTGACTGCAGTTTCTGCAGTGTCTGTAGGTAAGTGGAAGGCTCCTGCAGGTAATGTCGTAGAGGAGTTTGCAAAGAAGTAGACAGCCTCCAGAAAAAGCTGCAGGGTGTGACCTACAGAAAAAAAGGAGAAAACTTCAGAGGTAGGTCTATTGCATTGCGGAGGGTCTGTTGTAGGAAAGATTCTAGAAGAGGGACTAATGCAGGAAAAGGATCTGAAGGAAAGCCTACTGTAGGAAAAAGTTCTGGTGGCAAAGGAAAAAAAATAGAGAAAGAACTGCATAGAGTTTTTTTTGCAGCAGGGAAAAAACCGACGAAAAAGGGCATGTAGGTTGACTGTTGGGATTCTATTCAAGGATACATCCATTCTCGCCTCTGTAATAACCTTCCTCAAGTTGTTTTGAAAACAAGCCAAAGATGAACTTCTCTGTAACAAGCTTCCTTTCGTTTGCACAATTCATGCATGTGAAATAGCGGAGGATGCCATAATGGTCACTGCCAGAATTTACGGCTGGCAGGAATTTGTGGCCTGTAGGAAGGCATCGATAAGATCTATAAGTAAGATTTCCATCCAACAGAGATGATTTCCGACTGTTAGGGACCTGCAAAGAGAGATCCGGTAGTCCTGAAAGGAGTTCCAACCGATTGTGGAGATGAAAATGTGGGCTTCAAACACGACGTTTTCGAGTGTGAGAACGGTAAGGCCTTCCATGAGGGCCTAAAGGGCGCATATTGCGTCGATCTCAATGCGAGCGTCAGTAGCCTTGAGTTCGGCAGTACATCCCTTGCCTACATTGTCGTAGCAGCAGGCAACGACTACCTTGCCAGTGATCATGACATCAGTGGCTCGCATTAGGCCATTGGGGATAGAGTGGTGGCAACCATATAGTTTATCAAACTTACTCTTTGTAACCGAGTCATTGACGTTGATGGCAAAGAAAAGAAGCATCCCACTGTATTGCTTTTGGTACAACCTCTTCACTGCTTTGGTCGTCTCCTTAGAGACGCCAACTATTCTCTCCTTCATCTTCTGATACTTCTTCGGATCAACGCTTAAGCTATCCCTGATGAGCCCAACCACGATCTAGAATTTTGCATTGTTCGTAGAAATCAGATCTGGAGTTTTCCCATTCTTCTCGTACTCTCCCTCAATCTTAACTCCCTCATGGATAAGAAGTGTCGCATCATCGTTGTTGTCGACAATGAGATTCGGGCCTCCACAGGCACCCCATTCTAGGTAGCGCTCCGTGCACCACCAGTACTCCTGGAGGGTCTTGCCCTTCCAAGAAAAAGCAAAGAAGGAATCACAGGCGATTGTGGAAACGTTGTCCTTGAAATATGCTTGTTGCAACGTGGTCCTAGGTGGAGAAAATGTTGTAAGAGCACCAACATACCTCGGCACCGAGGGAGGTTAGGGTTTCAATGAGGACAACAATCTAGATTGTAATATGGAGAGAGTCGGAGATACGCGCTCCTTTGAACGACTGGGAGGGTCGAACTCAGCGCGACAGGCCATGCGGCATGACATCTCAACCTTTGCAAGCTCGATCTTGAGCCGTTCGAAATTGGCCTTGGATAAGACTTTGGCCTTGTACTTCCACCCGGAAGTTGTCTTCTCCACGAGCAGAGCCATAACGATGAAAGAGAAGTAGATCGGGAATTTTTTCTCTCCCGCTACGAATGGCACTGAGATCTAGTGAGCGAGGAGGGAAAAACAGATCTACTCCCATGGTGAGAGCCTGCGGACAGCTTGCACAGAGAGAAAACGTCCCTCCCTGCAGGGAGGATGAAAGGAAGAGAGTATGACGGCTATGGTGTGAGGACCGACAGTTAGGTCAAGGAATTTGTCTTTGACACCAAGTTGAAATTCAGAAATAATGCGGAATATTTTTATTGATATGAAAGTGGATATAACATGAATCCTATAATAGGAAAGATAATAATAAAAAAAGAAACAGGAAAGGAAAGATATAATACCTAGTATCTCCAATTAATCAATTCATATTAATTATTTGAAGATAAATGAAAAAACATAAAATATGAATGCCTAAAGTAGATAAGAAAATAAATCTAATCAAAGAAAATAAATCTAAAATAGGAAAAGAAATAAAGATATGTTAGTAAATAAATATAATTCTCTTAACTTCTAACAGGAATAAATGATAACGAAAATAATTAGGAGGATTCAATAAATGAATGTCTAATTTAATTATTTTCATTAAATTATTTATGAATTTCTTAAATGCAGGTTCTTTATAATGATTCAATATTTATAAATTAGGAGGATTATATTTTTAGTAAATAAAAGATAGATTTATTAGTTTGGTATTCTTATTAATCCTAAAAGTTAGGTGTAGATGAAAATCTTTTTTAACTTTAAGATTAATTTTCACTTTAGTATAGTTCTACTTTCATTCATAATAGAGGTTAATTATAGATAAATTAGAATGAAAATTTTAATCCATTAACTTAATTATTAAATAGAGCAATGAATAAAAATACATATAAATAATAATAATAACAGTAGTAATAATTGAAAAATAATTCTATAACAAAATTTTTTTGAATCTCAAAAGTTTGCTTTTATACAATTGGTTATTAATATCAACATAAAAGAGTATCGTGACGCGAAGTTGGTTGCTCGAAGATTGAGAATCTAGCCTGGCAACTGAAGTGAGCAATTGTGTTTCTAAATATAATGGTTAGTTGTAGATGAAAACCTTTTTTAAGTTTAAGATAAATACACTTTAGTATAGTTCTACTTTCATTCATAATAGAGGTTAATTGTAGATAAATTGACTGAAAATTTTAATCCATTATCTTAATTATTAAAGAGAGCAATGAATACAAGTACATGTAAATAATAATAATAACATCAGCAATAATTGAAAAATAATTCTATTAACAAAAAAATTGTTTGAATCTTGAAAGTTTGTATTAGTTATTAATATCAACATAAAAGAGCATCGTGACCACAAGTTGGTTACCTGAAGATTCAGAATCTAGCATGACAACTGAAGTGAGTAATTATATTTTTAAATTTTTGTAATATATTTTATTTCTAAATATATTCTTTATTTTACTTTAGATATATTATAATCTATACAATTGAGACTTAAATTGCAACTAATTCCTCATATTGCTATGTATGAAATATGTATGTTAACAATGATGCTTAAATAGTTGCATATTTGTTTTCCTAGAAAGATGTCAGAGTATTAGATGATTTTTAGTTTCTAGTAGAGATGTGTATATTAGATTATTGCATGACTTCGATTATAGTGAAGGTGTATTTATTCACTCGTCGATAAATACAAAATATCTTATAAGAAAATAAAGTATGTATGGAATATTGAAATAAAAATATTTTATAGATGAATGCTTGTATGTGCATATCAAAAAAAGTGTTATCCCTTGTAGTATTGGTTGAGGATACCAATGTACTTGCGCATGTTGATATTTTTCTGCCATCTCAGTTAATTGTGAAATTTATATCATTAACCGCCATGTCAACTGGAGGATATCAGTCAGGAGTTAGTGGACGCCCTACCATCTCAGGCAATCGTGTAATTTAGATCATGAACTGTTGTGTCGATGGAAGAATTTTAGTCCATGGTGATTATGTCTATTTTCACCTTGAACAATAGTAGACCTAGTCTGCGCCCTGTCTGTCGACATGTGTGTATCGGCAAGGGGTGTGTTATATTATATTTATATGGTGCTCTTGAGATGGGTATGGAAGTTGAGTATGATGCATATTAAAGTTAAAAGATTAAATATTGAAATGTAAAGATAAAGTTGATGAATATCGAATTCTAGATTATTTTTATTAAGTATGTCATGAATACATAGATTAGATTATTATATAATTTTCTACAATGAAACATAAAATACCAGTATGCATATTATTTTCTTTTCTTTGAGTCACCGTAGTTTAGAAGTGCAATTGTTTCACTAAGTTATTTTAGAAGACTCAGTATGTTGTTTTAATATTTTTTTAGGTTTATATTTTTAAATAAAAGATGAAACTAGAAAAAAAAAGGTTTACAAAATGTGAGATCAGCAACCGGAAAGATAAACTTTTATTTGCTAATTAAATTTCTTTTTTTAGTGGTCCTTTTAATTAATTTTTGGATTGGTGCAAGAGATTAGAGAGGTGGGTTGTGTCTTTTTTTCCTTTACTTTTTTTTCTTTTTTTTTATAATTCAATTAAGAAAAAACTCATTTGAGTTTTTTTTGTTGCTTTGATCTCTTTTTCCTTTTTTTTTTGTTTTAATAGATGTATGTTAATTCCTCGTAGATTTTTTGTCATTTGAATGTTGGATTTCATTCTTGTCGCATGCTGGGGGTTAAATTTCATGTTTTGCTTTCATTTGACAACCCAATTGATATGAGTATCCCTTCTATCTAATTTTGACATTCTGGATTCTTCAGCATTTTTCATTTTGCCAAACAGGCAATGTTTGTTGTGTTTCGCATGATGACAAGCCCATAGTCCATTTTCGTTGTGTTTGATTGAATTGATTGTGTGGGCACAGATGCATAGTTTTGGTTTTTTTTCTTTTTTTTTTGTTGCCTTTTCTTGTGTAATTCGCTAGACAAGTCAATCGTCGTTCCCAAGCATTTTGGATGCTTCGAACTTGTTGATGCAATATCTTTTAAGAACGGACAACATTAGCATTTCAAGCTTAATTCATGGTGCATCATGTCTGTTATATGCTATTTTGGTCATGTTGAATTGAATTGATTGCGTGGACCATTTTTTTGGTAATTTGGATGCTTTAGACGTATCAATGCAATTTGTTTTGAAATTAGCAATGTTTAGATGATTTTAATTTGTGTGATGCATCTGCGATGTGGCAACCGTTGATCAATCAGGTTGGGTTTAAGACATTCGTGGGGATCAGCAAGGAACAACTTTTTTTGTAAATTTTTTGTTGTTCAATGTTATTTTAGAGGTCAAAACTCTTTTCCCGTTTACCTTTTGACGTTTTGAAATTTTATTGGATGAGATCATGTCTTATTTCATTCTGGTCGCATGCTAGGCATTTTTATAGAACCCAGAATGACAAATGAGAAATTAGGTGAAACAGCTCTATGGTTTTCTGTATCGCAGGTAATAAAGAACGGGGAAATGCTCGGAGTTTCCCATCTCAGGAACAGAAGAGTTTTGTCTAATGGATTTGCTTTATTAGGAAAGGAGGATTTACAGGTAACGACTATTTATTTTTTGGTTGTGCGGCTCTATCAAGGATCTAACTTATATTCCTCTATTACAGTTGATGTATAGTGATGGTGACAAAGCATTTGGAACGTCGGCAGAACTTTGTATTGATGAGAGGTTAAGGATTGCATTTGACGGAATATTAATTGTCTGGTATTGTTCCAATTCCTGCATAAGCTTTCTTAGAAAGGTCAGTCAGGCGCTTGTAATTTTGTTGGAATGTGTTTGGATAGAATCTTGCCAAACTAGTTGGCAAGCTTAGAATTAGAGTGAAAACTGTCCTTTCATGCGCAGGTTTGGTTTTTTTTTTTTTTCATTGTTTGACCCCTAAAATAATTTTAAAAAAAAAAAGAAATGAAAAAAATAAATAAAATAACATTAAAAATTGTATCCACTCCCACTCAGTTCACAGAATAATCATTCCCATTGTTTATTAAAAAAATAAAAAAAATAAATTTGAAACATTGGAAAGGGGCTGGGAGGGGAGGGGGTCAGTTACAAAGAAAAAAAAAAGACCACAGAGAAGAAAACCCCACTTGTCTCTTTCGCCCGCTTCAGTCAAAGCCCAAGTGCTACTTGCTCTCAATCGCGGTTGTTCTGGGTCCTGCTCACCTACTCCCAATTGCAAAACAGTTGTTGTCAGGGCTAGCCGCAGAAGAAAACCACGAGATCACTGCATACGAAGATCTCCGTCTTTCTCTCCTTCTGCGCCATTTCCATCACGATACAGCTATGGCGATTGCTCTATGGAAAGCCATAGCAGGATTACTGTGTACAGAAACCCTCGAAACCCCTTCTCTCCTGTAGAAAACTCTCGCCTACCCCTCTTGCCTAAATCCCTCACAAGAAAGTCGTGATTTGCTCTAATTGGGAAAGACAAGAACAGGATTGCCGGCATACAGAGACTTGAAACTCTCATCTTTCGTCTCCTTTCGCACTGCTCCTATCCAAAACCATGGAGGTAGATGAAGAAAGCCCACAGAAGTCCTGCTTCGCCCCCTCCTTGCGTCAAAATCCTTCGTCCCTGTCTTTCGCCTATCTTGTCCAGCTCCCTGCAAATTCATGTGATTCGCTCTGCCCTAGCCCGTCGAAGCCCCTCTATTTCCTTCTGCCCTTGTCTCACCGCTCAATCCCTGTGTGTCTTCCTCTCATTTGTCCCTCTTTTTCCTTTTCCTGCATTTGATCTAGTCGCACCTCTATTCACTGTTTTGTATTGTCACTCTTTCATTTCCTATTCGAACCCAATTTCCCTAACTCTCTTTTTGCTGTGCCCTCAATTGATAAGTTGAGAACCCTAATCACTAAACAACCCGCTTATATGTATATATGTATATGTATAAAGAGACATTTGCCTAGTAACTCATCAGCCCACCGACATTGTTTTCATATCACAAGCAGAGCTATAAATACAAAGACTCACCTTTATTTTTATGTGGGATAATCGAAGGTCTTCCTGTGTATTAAAGAATGGTAGATTGGAAGATTCTCTTCGGTCTCAATCTCACGATACTGATAGATAGCTGGGCAGACAAACACCCTGATGCAACCCCCTCAAAGAGAAACGACGTCGAGAGGCTGCTGAAATTTATAGTGATTTTGAACTTTCAAATGTTCTTAAAAGATTGAATTATTTGGACTTAAAATAATGTCAAAATAGAAATAAAGGAAAATATAAATTGTGATTTAGAAGTCTCGGATTAGATTATATTTGAATGTGATCAAATAAAAATATGTTCTGATGGAAATGAATGTTTATTGGATCTATTTAAATACTTTAATTTTGGAGCTAAACTTAAATTTGAAAAAAAAAAATTTATAAACGGGAGCTCAGCTTGACTTAAATGTGAAATATCGTAAATTGGGGCTAAATATGAGACATGAATGTCATGTTTAAATACTAAAACAATTACTTAATATGAAAATATCATCACCAAATTTGCAACGTGTCTACTAGCTAACAGAAGACGATCATTTTTATGCTCCAAGTGAAGTTATGTAAAGGCAAGTTCATAATAATCTCTATGAATGTCTCAAAATTCAGTTGTCATGTAGGTTCTTTTTTGAAACAAGTCATCAAAATTATCCAAAGCATGTAAAACCCTTGAAAATGTGAAAACATAAAAAGTGAAATACTGGCACGTACTCCAACCAATATATTGAATGCTCAAATACTAGATTTGAGAATATTGTGTGGTCTAATCGGGTTGTCTTGTCTATAGGATAAAGTTGTAAGTCTTACATAACTAGTCCAATCCTCCTCACAAGGACTGGAATTGACGAGTCTAATACTTTTGAAATAAATGTTAAAATCTTAATATAAAAATTTACAAGTCTAAATCATCTGGTATGATCCTCCTCTTGTAAGGATAGGAATCTGCATAGACTCATGCCCTAAGAAGTTGAAACTAACAAAACCAAATGCTCCCTTTACATATAAAAGTTTAAAAATGTTTTAACTCCTCGATGATGGTCGTGGTGATAGAAAATTGCAACTGGACGGGTCTATTTTAAAAATTAAATTTCACAATCGATTTGAATAAATTCAAATGATATATCATTAAATCCGATCCTCTGTAAGCGAGATAGAGTTGACGGAATTCAAATATAAACAATTTATCAACAATGTCCGAGTTGATAAAAGATTTGAACCGAAAGCTATTTTCAAAATTAAATTTAAAAATATATTTATATAATTTCAAATGATATATCATTGAGCCCAATCCTCTGTATGCGGGATAGAGGCGACAGGTTTCAAAGATAATCAAATCCCCAATGATGGTCGAGTTAATAGATTATTTCAATCGGATGAGTTTATTTTAAAATTATGTTTCGAAGTCTATTTTGAATTCAATTATTTCAATTATTGAGCCCGATCCTATGTAAGCGGGACAGAGTTGACTGAGTTCAAAGATAAACTCTCTTCGATAATGGCTGAGTTGATAAAAGATTTCAACTGGATGAATCTATTTTCAAATTTAAGTTTAAAATATATCTGAATAAATTCAAATGATATATCACTAATCTCGGTCCTCTGTAAACAGTATAGAGTAGACAGGGTTTAAAGATAACCAAATCTTCGATGATGGTCAAGCTGATAAAATATTTCAATCGGATGAGTCAATTTTAAAATTATGCTTCAAAGTCTATTTTGAATTCAATCACTATGTCTGATCCTCTATAAGCGGGATAGAGTCAATAGGGTTCAAAGATAAACTTTCTTTGATGATGACCGTGTTAATTATTAATCTCAACCGTAGGGGTCAACTTTTAAACCAAGTTTCAAATCAAATTTCAAATCAAGTTATCAAAAGGACAAATCAATATATTTAAATTAAAGCCAATCACCTAAAGAATTGAAGTAAATAAAAGCCAAATATTCAAGTTAAAATCAATCACTAAAAGCTAAAAGCAAAAAATTCATCCACAATCCTCAAAATTTTGTAAAAAATTTTGTCAAGAGTGACAAACTTTTGATTGACTTCAGCTCACAAAGAGTGAATGTCATATTAAATATATTCATATATTCATAATCAAAGCAATCGCATGTCAGTAAATACCTGGCCTGAATTCTCTGGCAATCTCGTTCTGCCTCCAAATGGCACCACAAAGTAGCGGTTACGACTAGAGTTCTCTGACCGTTGTTTGCCGCCAAATGATTACATTATGTTATGGTTACGACCATAGCCCATATATTCCCCAATGACTTTTTACTTTTTGAATTGTCAATCATAAGGGTACAATTTATTGACATAAAATCTTCTGTTTGTTAAGGTTAATTTTGTTTCCTTAGACAAACATCTGCCAAGCAACTCATGGCTGCTGACTAGAATCATTTAGTCAAGTTGGGTCAACTACCTCTTCTAACTAGATAGATCAAGGACCACGACGACCCGGGATGTCTGAACCATGAGAATTTGATCAAGTTTCATCTTCATTTCCCCACCATCCGCTTTATACTTCAAGTGATATATTTTGCAATTAAAATATTATAAGTCTATTGTTATTATATGTTAAATACTCGATTCTTAATGACTAACCTTAATTGAAAGAGCACTCTATTATCAAGGGGGTAATTAACTATAGAGACTTGCGTTTATAAGAAACCTCAAACCTCGGATCAAAAAGCCCTCATAAAATGAGAGTGAAATTTCTGAGTAGTGTTTTATCTACAATCCAATCTGTCTTCTGAAAATTTGATTGTTCAAGCTCTCAACAAAAATAAAAATAAGATAATGCAGAGTCTTTAAGGGACTGTTATGAATTTGTAGAGCCAACATTCGTCATTATTGTCTCGGTTTTCATTTATATTGTTTTTTTCACTTCTCGATTTTAAAGAAAATGAAATTATTTTTGGTACATTTTGTGAATTAGACCTTCATTCTGGTTTTACAGTCTATTAATAAATGAAAATTATTCATATTATATAAGCTTTAGCGGTAACAATATTAATATTAATTTTGATTAGTTTTTAATTATATTGAAGAAACTTTAATTTATTAATATTAACAACTAAAAAAAAACATTTAAATAAAATATCAAAATAATGATAGTTATATCATTCAAGCCTAAAACTGCCTGTACAAAAAATTAAATCTGTATTGTATTAATAAATAATGGGATAATTTGGATATTATTATGATCAAACAATTTAATAAGAATAGTTGAGCAATTTATAGGACTCTTTTCCTTGCATTTTTCTTAATGAAATTAACTAAACAATATTAAGAAAAGTTTAGATCAATTTAAGAACGCTAATTTTACTCTTTTATTAATCAGTCTAATAAGTGAATTGGAGTTCTGAAAAGATAAGAGTAGTGCCTTAGATTCAAGTTTTAAGATTGATAGGTGACATTTTTTTTTTTTTAAGTAATTTAAAATATTAAGAGCATGTCAAATGGTTGGAGAGGATGCATTTTGACACTATTATTTGTTGGGCAAGGGTAGACGGCAATGGAGTATTTTGAACTTAACTTAAAATCTTCTGAAATCGTCCGATTTTCTTCGCTCGCAACCTTCCGTGCTAGCAGAAGTTGAACGGTTGATCACTTGAACACACTAATGGAGGAAAGAAATATAACAATTAAATTACAAAATAAATATAAAACAAAGTGTACAAGTCTAGAGATATGATATTACAGAATGTGTATATACTAACACCATGAGTTTGCAATTTGTATGTGAATTGTGAGGGGTATTGTATCCATATCAACTAAAATAGGTGTGACCACTCAAGTCATATTTTGCTATAGTGGTTCCTATGTATTAATGGCAATATTTTCAATGGTAGCATGGAAATCTCACGTCCGCGACATATAAATGGATCGTCACAACCATGCTTGAAAGGGAAAATACGAATTAGTACCCGGTGTTTGTGGCTGGACAAAGGGAAGTTGTTGGATGCACTGTACAAAGCTGCACACGCTGCATTATCAAGTTGTCCTGTAAATTGCCCATTGGTTCACATGGAAAGGATTGTATCTGAAGTACTGAGGAAGGTGGTTAGAAAATACTGCAGTCGAAGACCTGAAGTCATTGCAATTGCTGTTGAGAACACCGTTGGTGCTCTCTCCGAAGAACTCAGGGAAAGAATAGCAGGAAAAACTTATGGTGGCTTTGATTCTTCTGCAATGAATCAACATTTAGATATTCGCATGAGGAAGGATTCAAGCAGCAGTTTTGATGAAGATACAGCAAACGTAATGAGAAACCTTATCGAAACAGAGGCTGAAGGTAATGCAGGAAACTTCTCTTTGATTTTGGTTGTCAAGAATTGTTTTGGTAGTATTTTTTGTTCCAAGCATGAATTTCTAACTTTGAACGAGCAATCTTCTGAAATGGGTACCAAGGGGGGTGGCATGAAAGGAGTATTCTATAATAAATTGTCTGATACCTTCTAAATGTAAAATGTTCTTGCAGATGATTATTTTGTGGCTGAGAAATCACATGTGGAAGATCCTTTGCTAGAATCAGAAGATTTGGAAGATGAAAACACATCTTCTGTAGAACATGTGAAATCCAGTAACGCAAGCGGAGGGGAATCAATGAAGGTATCAGAGGCGAAGACTGGTAGTCCCAAACCCGGAAAAAGGAACAAATGGAAGCCTGAAGAAATTACAAGATTAATTAAAGAACGTGGTGATTTAAATAGTAAATTTCAGACTGTTAGAGGAAGAATGGCTCTATGGGAAAATGTATCTTCTATCATGTCAGCCCATGGAATAATCCGTTCTTCCGCACAGTGCAAGTCTCTGTGGGCATCCCTTGTTCAAAAATATGAGGTGTTTACTTCGATCTGCGATGCTTATTCTTTTTCCTTCTCAAAATTTTTTTCTCTATATAACCATGTAGTTTCAAAGTTTTAAGCTATATCAATCGCACTTGTTTGACGCTTAGATTCTAACGGCCCTATGCCATAACATGCTATTTATCCAATGTGAAGTTAATAGGTGCATTTATATGAGGTATCTTACATATTGGTGTTTAATAACTATTACGTCAAAAGAAAATTCTGTCAGTTCATATAACCAAGTTAGATTTTTATTAAGTTATTGCAATATGGTGATATCTGCATAATTTATGAAGACGTTTTTATTTTTAGTTTGTGCTTTTAACTTCTTACTAAACCATCTGGACAGGTGAAAGCATGTTAAAATGTGCCGATCGAGCATGGCTTGTGTTTGAAATATGTTTTTGGTTGTATATTTGGAGCAGGAACACAGGAAAATGTGTTTTGGAGAAAGCAAAATTTTAGTTTGTAATATATGTATTCTCATGATTTGCATTTAATTGTGACATAGCTGCAGTTTGGTAGTGAGTAGTACCTATCAACATTATTACCTCCATTTTCTAAAATGATAATGCGCAAACAAAGCTGCTTTTGTTCATCTTATTTTTGCAACTTTATGATAATCCTCGGCAGACATCCTACCGGTTAATATTTCTTGTGAGAACTTCTAAATAAGCCTGACTCTTCTCTTCAATACATATATGCATTAATTATGATTCTCAAACTTAGTTTCAACTGACTCCCTTCTCTTCTTGCAGGAAAGTAGAAATGATGAGAAAATTAGAAAGAGCTGGCCTTACTTCAACGCAGTTGATAAGATCTTGTCAGCTCCACAAGAGGCAGCAAAATAAGAAAAGCTGATAACCTGATCGGATAGATTGTTTAATCCATTGGAGTGAAATAGAAGGCTGCCATGTCTTTCATGCTCAGTTTTAGTGTGTAGAGTAGGAAGAATCGGTGAGAAATCAGTTTTCAATCTTCAACAAGTCGTGCACTGCGGAACTAAAACTGGAGGACTACAATTGCTTTTATTGGACGCTTCAAGAGGGCAATAAAATTTCTTTTTCATAAATTTTGGACAGAAATGTGATGTCATGTTTCTTTAATCTATACAGTACTGATCTAGGCATAACTTCTGCACTAAGTTGGGCCAGACGATGAGCACTGCTTTTTTTAGCTATAAGAGTTATTAGTATGTCAAACAGTTGCATTGTAACAACTACTGTATCCATTATTTTTATTAATTCTTCATTGTCATTTTAAAATGTTTTTCTATTATGTAAACACTGCTGATTTTCTTTTTCAGTTTGCTTTATATGTTTATATAATCCTTAGGTTTTGTTAAAAAAATAATAAGATATGGATATGCATGAGACATGATGCTATAACGTGACACCAAATTCTATGTATCTACATTATCTATCATCATAAGTTTGCTTTTTACATTCGGAACACCTAAATAAGGCCTACGCAAACCAGAAAGAAACATGATAGGATGAACTGCTTGCATGTCAGACATCAGTCATAAGAGCCCAATTTTAGGGTCGGTTTGGGACAGTTTTATGTCTATTTTATTTTTAAAACCACAATAATTCTATTTGGGTTTCTTGTTTTTCTTAGAAATTTTTGTGATAAAAAATTATTTTTTTGACCTGTTAAAATTTAGTAACTGCAAGAAATTATTGCTTTACAATAAAATAATTTTTTAATAATTATCACAATTTTTTTAAAAGTAATTTCTACAGTAACAGCTTCAAACAACTGCAAGAATCCCAAACTGACTCTTAATGGCAACTTCTATTCCAGTAGCTCAATTTTCAGACAAATTTAAGATCTATTTGAGATGATTTTTTATTTTTTTCAAATCACCATAATTTTATTTGGAGAATTGTTTTTTGTTATTTTTAAAAAATTTGTGGTAAAAGTTTACTTTTCTAAACCAAAGCTGTTAAAATGTTATAATTGCCAGAAAGTTATGATTGAAAATAAAACAAATTTTAATAGTCATCATAAATTTTTTAAAAACAATTTTTTCTGCAACAATTTCACATCTGCTTGCTCAAATCGTTACATTTGCCCCCAAACAGACCCTTAAAAGGCAACTCAAATTCAAGCAGCTCAATGTCCAAGAGTTTTAGTAGATGCCATTTTAATTTTATTTCAATATTTTCAGTCTTGAATATAAATAAAGAAATTTAAATATGAAATTTTTTTTTTCAGTCAAATACTTTTTATATGAACTATTTGAAATATAGAAAAAACATGATCTAATTGTTTTCATCAAACTAATTCAACAAAATGTGAACCAAAGCAATGCTCTATCTATATCATTTTACAAAACTCCATCTCAAGGAATCCCCATCTTCCAAAGCTAGAATTCCTGAAATATACAAATATATGGCGGCACCAATGCCAATTTTCAAAACTACATAGCTACTGAATGAACCCCAAATGGCTATTTAACACCCAGCCAGAAAATTCCCAATTAATCAATCAAAGGTTCATTCTGCTCTGCCACAATTAGGATCAATTTCTCATTTGACCGAACACTAAATCCTAAATAATGATGTTTCATACCTCAATGGCAGTCACTACTTCCTCCTCAGTTGTATCAGAAGCATCAAAAACCACAATTTCTTCCTGTTCATCTCCATCTACAGTTGGAGTTCCTCCTGTTTCATGCCTTCTCCCCGTATCAGTCTGAGTCAAAACCTCTCTCAGATTCACCA